AGTGAATGCAGGGTCCTGGGAGACCAGATATAGTGAATGCAGGGTCTGGGGAGACCAGATATAGTGAATGCAGGGTCCGGGGAGACTGGATATAGTGAATGCAGGGTCCTGGGAGAGCGTATATAGTGAATGCAGGGTCCGGGGGAGACCAGATATAGTGAATGCAGGGTCCGGGGAGACTGGATATAGTAAATGCAGGGTCCTGGGAGACCAGATATAGTGAATGCAGGGTCCGGAGGAGACTGGATATAGTAAATGCAGGGTCCTGGGAGAGCGGATATAGTGAATGCAGGGTCCTGGGTTTAGTAACACCTTAACAACACCCCAAAACAGATCGCATAATGCAGTGCTCTTACCAGAATCAACATCACATGGATGGGAACACCCCTGCATGCAAATCAGGTGCAGGAAAAAAAGGGTCCTGCACCTTTTTGGTGCAGATGTGATGCGAGTCGATCCATACAAAATGTACGGCTCAAATTGCACAGCACAGACATCGCATGTGAGTTGTACAGGAATTTGGTGCAGTTCCTGTGAGAATCACCTGCGATGTGCCGCACCGCATTAGCGTGAACCAGGGCTCAGTGTGGATGGGAGAATCAAGTGATTTTGTCTTGTTCAGGATAAACAGGAGAAATGTAAATGTGTGCGGCTAGCCTTAGAATGCACACAGCGCATGCACAGATTTTTTAATACAATTAAAATGGGTCCTTCTTAGAAAAACTCCAGGAGCTGAACTGCAGGGTGAGCAGATCTTGTCTAAATACAAGAATCATTTGTATTCTTTCTTGAATCTTGGCATGCTTTATGTATTTCTCACAGATTTGTACGGTAATCCAGTGTTAGACTTTGGCTTCCTGTAATAAAGACCACTCACTGCTGCCCTCACTCCTTGTGCAGAATGACTGGTCTTGTCTCCGCCCCCTCCTGCAGCTTTCTACAGATGGCCTGTAATGGATGGAGCTGCTGGGCCCCTCCCACAGGTCTGCCCTCAGCACATGCTATATATAGCACAGTGGTGATGTCACTGCTACTTTTACAAGGTAATATCTGGGTTTATAAAGACATTTTTTGCACACAAAACAAATTTATATCCTCAGTGGCTAATAAGGAAATAAATAAAATGGGAGCTTTGTTTTGCCCAGGGCTCAATTTTAAAACTTTTAGTGTAGGTGTGGCCTTCAGGGCAAACAGTTCATTTAGAATAAGTGCAACTATTGTGAATGTATTTTTGATTATAACCCCAGAGATCCAGGAACACACAGAGATGCCAAAACCATCCTACAATCTGCATTACGGCCCAATAATAGGCACACGTGCCAAGCCAAATCCCAGTGTAATATAGACCACAATAATTATTAGAGCTTAACTTTGCAATCATTTCTCCTGAAGAGCTCTCGGCACCTGTGTGTATGATGCCTCCAGGTGGATTTCTACATTTTGGGCAAAAAAGAAAATGCAGAATCACAGTTGGAATAGACATACATCCTGAAACTTGCAAGAAACCACAATGATGTAACCAATCTTTTTTCAGCTGGTTTTCCTAATTCTTTAACCACTTCCAGACCGGACACTTTTACCCCCTTCCTGACCAGGGCAATTTTCAGCTTTTAGCGCTATCGCACTTTGAATGACAATTGCGTGGGTCATGCAACACTGTACCCCAATGAATTTTTTACCATTTTTTTTGAGACAGATAAAGCTTTATTTTGGTGGTATTTATTCACCGCTGGGATTTGTATTTTTTTTGCTATGTAAATGAAATGTCCAAAAATTTTGAAAAAAAGTGTTTTTTTTATAAAATTTTGCAAATAAATAATATTTCATCATAAATCTTAGCCAAAATGTATTCCGTTATCTTTTTAGTAAAAAAAAAAATCCAAATTAGTTTATAACCAAAAATTATAATTTTTAAACATTTTTTTTTACATTTTTATTTTATTTTTTTTATATTATTATTTTTTATTTTATTTTTTTTTTTACATACTGTCACCCTAGTAGTACAGTGTCACCATCGTGACACTGTACTACTTGTGGGGGGTGATGAAGATTTTTTTTTTTTTTTACACTGATTGCTTTTACACCCATATAGGATGTAAAAGCAATCATTTCTCTTTCTCTCTGTCTGCATTCTTGCACTCATTGAGAAGTACTGTGTGAGCTGTGATTGGTCACAGATTGTCACATGGTACAAGGCTTTTGTGAATAGCCTTGTACCATGTGACCTCTGTGATCATTCACAGATTTCACACGTAGTAAGCAATGATGTCACAAGTGACATCTTGCTTACTACTTTGCATGTGATCACTGATTGGCCAATCAGTGATCACATGATCGGGACCTGTACAGAGGTCCCGTCCGACTATCGGTGTTTCACTGTGTCGGAGGACACAGCGGGCACTGGATCACGGTGCTGCGCACTCCCAGGGAGCGCGCACAAGCAGGGTGCGGGGAGGCCGTTTATAAACGGCCACCCGACCCTGCAGTGCCACCGTCCGACCGTTTATATGCAACGGCCGATCGGGAAGTGGAAGGTGGGAAGTGGTTAACTGACAAGTGTGAAGAATGAGAATGAGGAGGCTAAAAATCAGCCAGAAAGGAAGTCATGACTGTTGGACTTGCAGAATATCGCGGCTAATACTTACCCCTAATCCATAAAAACCACCACCACCCTTCTACCTACCCCACCTAAATGACCACGCGACTCTCTTTTTGGTGTAAAACCGGCCATAGCAGCCATTTATTTAACATATCTCAAACATAACACTTCTTACAGTACACTCAAATAATAACTGACAGTAATGATCCCAACCGGGTCCAAGGTCTTCGAAGGCACCGTTCCTCACATTACAAACTCGGCTGTATCTGACACCCAATGAAAAGGCCCCCAGCCGCTACTACACCGCCTTGGGGACAATACTACAGTTACGTAGTCCCAGATACAGCCAATGAACTCCCACATTACCAACGTGACCTTATAATTGGGAAGGAACACCCATACCTACGATGGGCCCAACCCATAATCCACCAAACTGTCACTCCAGCACACCGCCTTCAAAGACCCAGCGACCCCTGCGGGCTGCCATGACAAAACAAACAGACAAACACCTGGAGACACAGAAAGCCCTTCTGAACAAGAAACAAACTCAAGGAACCCACACAAAACAAACAACAGGACAAACACAAAGAACAAACCAGAACCAAAACAGCAAAACAAAATACGAAACAGCTCCAGGGAGGGACCTCTGACCACTGACCTCTGACAAGACCCAACCCCCCCTCCTGATCCTTGCAAGACCATCCCTCAATGTTGCATACTCCAATCAGGTAAGTAACCACCCCCCTTACCTCCTGCATATACTCCCATCCAAAATACACGCTCCGCCTCATCTGCACGCCCCAGTCATGCTGGCACTCCCTTTTAGCTTTGCTCAGTCCAGGCCTTGACTGAAGTTTAGAAACGGTGCAGTTAAAATATATTGATATTGATAAACAGTCAGTAGGTGCCTCTGATGCGTTTAGGGGGGTCATGCATTTTAGGGATTTGATAACCTCCAATGTGTTTCTGGGGTTATCAAATCCCTAAAATGCATAACCCCCCAAAACGCATCAGTGGCACCTACTGATTGTTTATCAATATTAATTTAACTGAACCGTTTCTAAACTTGTGGTGTCTCATCCTTCACACGTTCGTTGTATTAGTCTCCACCTCTGAAGAAGTGCGTGCACACGAAACACGTTAGGAGGAGCCTAGGACGTCGTGACGTCACGCCGCCGAAGCCACGTGGAGGCCCGGCGGCCATCTTAGTTCCTTGATGAGCCCTGCGGCGATCCAGTTACCAGTCCATCATATCCAGAGAGGGAAGCTGCTGTAAGCAAGCATCTGTACCCACCTATCCCTTAAAGGGACCTCTGGCCAGCTGGATCAGTCTACACCTCTGAGGGCTCATATCCTTACCACCCTGAGGGAGAATCACCCCGAATTCCAGTCTGGACCTATACCTGTGAAGGAGACCCGTGTTGGTTTACATATTGCGTAATTGAATTACGCTTCTGGTGAGTGCGTAAATCTTACCTTACCACTGGGAGCACAGCCACTGGATTGAATTTGTATACCACGATATCTTCACTATACAGACTGTCACTGATTTATACTTTTAATATTGGGGACATTACCTATACTCCATATAATTTATTGATCAGCCCTGCACTTTTTTATATGTTAGTTGTATTGCTCTCCCATAGGGTCCCATAGGCTACCCTGTTTGTTAGAAAACTGCGTCTCAAGGCTAGTAATTGCACCTTTGGGGTCAGTGCTCTATTAGCTAATACTTTAAATAATTTAAGTGAGAATCCATCAGAGGGCCTACCATCATTACCTGGTTCTGTAACATCTACAGCAGTTGGACAGAATTGGGAATTGTGATGGGAATATCTCTTCACTTCATCTTCCCCAAGAGATGAACAACTCTTGCTGTCTTAGTATTGAACTATTCTGCTCTCTTAGTATTTAAGTGATATTAAGAGCTTGTACATAGTTCACCTTAACAGTACTCACTCAATCTTTTCTCATCAGCAGTTAGAGCAGTCTTGTGACTTCTATCAGTGTATAGCTGAGCACTGGTTAAAGCTTGTAGGAGGAGTTTTCCTTCTGCTCTAGGAGGATGCAGGACCCCTGACCTCTGTCTGAACATTGCTTATTGGCCCTATGCTGATCACATGCACTCTCCAGAGACAAAAAAAAAACCTCTAGCAATACACACTAAACTGAGAATGTGCAGAATGGCTACGAGTTCAGTCTGTCTTATCGGAGATAACACGTGGACATTTGAACAAGAGGAGGGGCAGAGAAGACAGGATCAAGCAGCCTTTTTACACAATGCAGAGGATTAACCCCTTAGGTTCCTCAGTGAGTATAACAAGCATGCTTTACTGTATATACAGACGGATTGTTGTGGGTTTAGTAACACTTCAATGCTGTAAAAAGCCTGTGGTCTTACCTGTTTGTTTTTGGTGCTAGCTGTTCCTATGAAGGTTATAGGCTCATTCCCAAACCTGACATTGTCTTGGATAAACTTGGCGTAGTATGGGTGGGGCATGTTGTTGCGGTTTGGAGATCTTGGATGTGGTGGGAGATTATTAGACTTCTGAAATAAAGGTGGATGCTTGATCCTATTTTCATCCAAGCTGACATCAAATAGATTTTCATCAAATATCCTGTATGTGTTTTGCCTGGTCACAAAAAGAACAAATCAGACATGAGTGGCAGAGTTCAAGCTGTAGGTGCGTGACAGAACATAAGAATGTGTTGCTATAGCTATTTTAGTGATATTTTATAGCATAAATATATGGAATAATGACCGTGTATGGTTTTTAGAAACTAGGCTTCCCCTATTCGTTGCTAATGAACTTGTTGGACTGGTTCATGGGCTCATGCTTCAGGAAGTGATTTTTACAGGAAGCAGGGAGAGGGAACAAAGAACTGGGACACAACTGTGTGCTCAAGACAAAGGAGCAGCACTAGTAGTTTTGCAGGACCTCCGAGAACCAAGGAGTAGTCTGCAAGGTGACCTGGGGATAATGAAGAGAAGAGAACTTCACCTAGGGATGACACTGTACTGTGCTCTCCTGGTCCCAGTACTGTGCCCTCCTGACTCCCCCAGTACTGTGCCCTCCTGACTCCCCCTGCACTGTGCTCTCCTGATCCCAGTATTGTGCCCTCCTGACTCCCCCAGTACTGTGCCCTCCTGACTCCCCCTGCACTGTGCTCTCCTGATCCCAGTATTGTGCTCTCCTGACTCCCCCTGTACTGTGTTCTTCTGATCCCAGTATTGTTCCCTCCTGACTCCCCCTGTACTGTGCCCTCCTGATCCCACTATTGTGCCCTCCTGACTCCCCCTGCACTGTGCCCTCCTGACTCCCCGTGTACTGTGCCCTCCTGATTCACCAGTACTGTGCCCTCCTGACTCCCCCTGTACTGTGCCCTCCTGATCCCAGTACTGTGCCCTCCTGACTCCCCCTGTACTGTGCCCTCCTGATCCCAGTACTGTGCCCTCCTGATTCACCAGTACTGTGCCCTCCTGACTCCCCCTGTACTGTGCCCTCCTGATCCCAGTACTGTGCCCTCCTGACTCCCCCTGTACTGTGCCCTCCTGACTCCCCCTGCACTGTGCCCTCCTGACTCCCCCTGTACTGTGTTCTTCTGATCCCAGTATTGTTCCCTCCTGACTCCCCCTGCACTGTGCTCTCCTGATCCCTGTACTGTGCCCTCCTGACTCCCCCTGTACTGTGCCCTCCTGATCCTAGTATTGTGCCCTCCTGACTCCCCCTGTACTGTGCCCTCCTGATCCCAGTATTGTGCCCTCCTGACTCCCCCTGTACTGTGCTCTCCTGACTCCCCCTGTACTGTCCCTTCTGATCCCAGTATTGTGCCCTCCTGACTCCCCCCTGTACTGTGCCCCCTGATCCCAGTATTGTGCCCTCCTGACTCCCCTGTACTGTGCCCTCCTGATCCCAGTATTGTGCCCTCCTGACTCCCCCTGTACTGTGCCCTCCTGATCCCAGTATTGTGCCCTCCTGACTCCCCCTGTACTGTGCTCTCCTGATCCCAGTACTGTGCCCTCCTGACTCCCCCTGTACTGTGCCCTCCTGTCCCCCTGTATTGTGCCCTCCTGATCCCAGTATTGTGCCCTCCTGACTCCCCCTGTACTGTGCCCTCCTGACTCCCCCTGTACTGTGCTCCCCTGATCCCAGTACTGTGCCCTCCTGACTCCCCCTGTACTGTGCCCTCCTGACTCCCCTGTACTGTGCCCTCCTGACTAATAGGCAGCACTGATGGGTACCAATAAGCAGCTCTGAAGGGCATTGACTGGTGGCACTGTTGGGCAGCAGTGATGGGCAGCACTGATGGGCACTGCTGGGAGACACTGATGGGCAGCACTGATGGGCACTTTTGGGGCTGCACTGATAATCACAGCACTGATCATCAGTACCCTGATGATCAGTGCAGATGTCTTCTGTGACACTTCTGTGACCTGTTCCTTTATATCACACAGCAGTGGCCATGAGGTAGTGCATGCTGCTGGTGTAAACAGCCCTCAGGCAACCACTTTTGAGTGTGCATTCTATTCCCAGTGAATTAAATTGGTTCAAGTTGCCTAATAGCCACTTTATATTCATGCCTTGCAGGAATGCACTTTTAATGCACACATTATTGCAACACATATAGGGCTCCATACACACTAGCTTATGTTTAGGCTCCTAGAAGCTAATTATTAGAATTTTTTTCTGCCCCTAGAAGCAAATCATGTTATCCAATCTGTCCATGCACACTATTGTAGGCTAGAAGAGATTTTTTTCTAGAAGCAGAAAAAAAAAAACGCATTTGCCAGCAGACAAAAACACTGAATGCTACTAAACGCTTCTAACAACTTTTTTCCCTTTTTCCTGCATGTACTGTAAAAACGCTAACGTTCCTAAACACTGCTAAAATGCTACTAAAAAAACGTTATTACCAGCTGTTTTTATCCAGCGTTTTTGTAAATCACTATTGTGCATGGAGCCTTCAAGTTATTCCCCAGGAAGAAGGGTGAGCCGCACACCGGAGGATAGATGAATATAGTGTGTATTTATTGATCCATAGGACACACACAAAACACCAGGACATGAATACGGGACTTGTTAGTTATTCCCCACCCCGGGCTCCTACTGTGTTAATACCCATTTGTTGGGAAAAAAGATATTTGATATTTTAAATTGATCTTGCAGCTGCAATAAAATACCCCAAAATCAATATACCAATATCAGTAGGCAATGACATTCATTTCTATCACGCAGCACTGCTTGGCTGAATTGAATGACATTGCTGATATTGGTATCTTTATTCCATGCATTGATGCACTGAGGTGCCATTCATTTTGAATACTAAAGCTGGGCCTACACTAGTAGAACTATGAAAATTTTGTAAAATTTTTGATGCATTTTCTGGTGTGTTTTCTGGTTTCCTGACTCCAATCATACGCCTGTGATATATGGACATGTAACTCAAAAAGCGCACCAAAACCGCAACCACTGTGCATTTTTTTCTGCATTTTCTATTTGTGGGGAGGTGCGTTTTTAGTGAACTTTTTAAATATGCACCAAAAAGGCAACATGCAGGACTTTTAAAAACACCCGCAGCGCATTGGTGTGAAGAGTTCCATAGGATTTAAAGGGATACATTTTTCATGCATTTTTGTTCCACTTTTTGAAGTGTTACTAAACCCCGGTCCCTATATTCACTATATCTGGACTCCATGGACCCTGCATTCACTATATCTGGTCTCCAAGGACCCTGCATTCACTATATCTGGTCTCCCTGGACCCTGCATTCACTATATCTGCTCTCCCAGGACCCTGCATTCACTATATCCGGTCTCCCTAGACCCTGCATTCACTATATCTGGTCTCCAGACCCTGCATTCACTATATCTGCTCTCCCAGGACCCTGCATTCACTATATCCGGTCTCCCCAGACCCTGCATTCACTATATCCGCTCTCCCCAGACCCTGCATTCACTATATCCGGTCTCCCGGACCCTGCATTCACTATATCCGGTCTCCCCGGACCCTGCATTCACTATATCCGGTCTCCCCGGACCCTGCATTCACTATATCAGGTCTCCCCGGACCCTGAATTCACTGTATCCGGTCTCCCGGACCCTGCATTCACTATATCCGGTCTCCCCGGACCCTGCATTCACTATATCCGGTCTCCCCGGACCCTGCATTCACTATATCAGGTCTCTCCGGACCCTGAATTCACTGTATCCAGTCTCCCCAGACCCTGCAATTCACTATATCTGCTCTCCCCGGACCCTGCATTCACTATATCTGGTCTCCATGGACCCTGCATTCACTATATCTGCTCTCCCCGGACCCTGCATTCACTATATCAGGTCTCCCCGGATCCTGCATTCACTATATCCAGTCTCCCCGGACCCTGCATTCACTATATCTGGTCTCCCCGGACCCTGCATTCACTATATTCGGTCTCCCCGGACCCTGCATTCACTATATCTGGTCTCCCTGGACCCTGCATTCACTATATCCGGTCTCCCCAGGACCCTGCATTCACTATATCCGGTCTCCCCGACCCTGCATTCACTATATATCCGGTCTCCCCGGACCCTGCATTCACTATATCCGGTCTCCCCGGACCCTGCATTCACTATATCTGGTCTCCCCAAGACCCTGCATTCACTATATCCGGTCTCCCCGGACCCTGCATTCACTATATCCGGTCTTCCTGGACCCTGCATTCACTATATCCGGTCTTCCCGGACCCTGCATTCACTGTATCCGCTCTCCCTGGACCCTGCATTCACTATATCTGGTCTCCCCGGACCCTGCATTCACTATATCCGGTCTCCCAGGATCCTGCATTCACTATACCTGGTCTCCCAGGACCCTGCATTCACTGTATCCGCTCTCCCTGGACCCTGCATTCACTATATCCGGTCTCCCCGGACCCTGCATTCACTATATCTGGTCTTCCCGGACCCTTCATTCACTGTATCCGCTCTCCCTGGACCCTGTCTCCCGGAGCCCTTCATTCACTGTATCCGCTCTCCCTGGGGCCCCCCATTCACTATATATTTAGAAGAAAAAAAAAGGGCAACGCACATGAACGCAAGTTAATGCAAATGCATCAACACCCTGCACATGTAAATAAGCCCTAAGCCCTGGTTCACACTAATGCGGCGTAAAATTCATAGTGTTTTCAGTTGCGAATTCCGCACCACATCAGAATCGCACCCCGTTCATGTGAACCACTGCAGGTGTGTATGTTAACCACTTGCCCCCCTTCCTGACCAGGCCATTTTTTGCATTACGGTTCTGCGTGACAATTGCACGGTCATACAACGCTGCACCCAAACACCTGTGCGTTTTTTACCCACAAATGGAGCTTTCTTTCGGTGGTATTTGATCGCCTGTGCGTTTTTATTTTTTGTGCTAAAAAAAGTCCAACAATTTTGAGAAAAAAACAATATTTTTGACCCTTTGCTATTAAACACGTCCAGTAAAAAAAAATGTAAAAAATCAAATGTCATCATTAATTTTGGCCAAAATGTATTCTGTCACATATCTTTGCTAAAAAAAAAATCCCAATATGTGTACATTAATTGGTTTACGTGAAAGGTTTAGCATTTATAAATGGCGGTATAGATACTGGGATTTTTTTTTTCATTTTTACTAGTAATGGTGGCGAAAGCACCCCGAAAGCGGTCCGCAAAACGCGTCGCGATGTGCAGAATCGGATTGCATAGGTGTGAATACCTATGCGATCTGGTTCTAGTGCAGACCCATAAAAGGGTCCTGCACGTTTTTTGGTGCGGGTGCGGTGTGATTAGAACCATACAAAATTCAATCGCACCGCACACAAATCGCATGTGATTTGCGCAGGAATGTGGTGCGGTTCCTGTGCGAATCACATGCGATATACCGCGCCGCATATATGTGAACCCGGGCTGACTGTTGCCACGTGTATTAAAAAGCACCCCCCCACCACCACCACCACCCAGATAGGGAAGCATGGCGCCCCCTTGTCTAGCAGCACTTACAAGAGGCGATCTGGCACCTTCTTCTTCCTGGCCATATAGATCTCCATGGTTTGGAACATGGTGCTGCACTCCGGGAAATCACAGCCACCAGATCCCTGGAGCTGCACTGACACCATGATACACAGCTGTTGCCCGGCAACCATTGTCTGCACATGCGCACAGCCCCTCCCTGTGAGTCTGGAGGACTTGTTCTGGGACTGCCATTGGAAAGTCTGTCAGAGACATACAAATCCCCTGCAGCTTTAAACCGAGACCCACAAATATTTCTGCCGTACGTGAACGCGCGTTTGTGTGCTTTGTGTTATCAGTCATTATTCAGAGCTGACTGCTTCATGAAAAGAATCCAACGTTTAGACGGTGACAACCTATGTCTGATTTCCAGGGACGCCAGCTTTCTCAGAAACGTCCGATTAACCCTTTCGCTGCCAGAACTTTTTTTTTTTTTTTTTTGCGTTGTTTTGCACAACTTGCTAAACTGCACATTTAAAAAAAGAAAAGAAAAAAAATATAAAATAAAACAGAAGCTGCAATTGTTACGTTACGCGATTAAAATTTGCGCTACTCCTTACCAAATCTCTGTTTTCTGTAGGAATACATTTAGCCCGGGTTCACACATTTGCGCATATGCGGTGAGGCACATCACATGTCATTTCGCGCAGGAGCCGCAATACATTCCTGTGCAGGTCACGTGCGCGAATTCTGTACAGTGCGATTGGAGCCGTATAGCTCAATTTGTACCGCATCCGCACCAAAAAGGGGACAGGAACCTTTTTTTGGTCCGCAACTAGAATCGGATCATTTTGGTTTTCCCATCTATGCGATCCAACTTCTGCACATCGCACCGCGTTTTGTGGACCGATTTCAGGGTGTTGTTAACCGCTTCCGCGCCGCCCTATATCAGAATTATAATGCAACGAGGCCGGCAGGGGTGCACAAAATCACGTGTATATATGTGATTTTGCATTTTTCGGGTAGGGGGTGCGCGCGCCCTACCCGCACCGCCATTCGAGGCTGTCAATCACCGGATCCCAATCAGTGATTACTCACCGGCGGCCCGGTGATTTCCAACGATCTCTGATGGGGAGGAGAACTGTTTTGTTTAGTAACAGTTCTCCTCCCTGTCAGCTCGGGCACACTGCTCTGGATAGCTGTGCACAGTACAACCATCCAAAGCAGTGTGCACAGTACAAAACCATCCAAAGCAGTGTGCACACAGACACCGCCCCCTAGTAAAACACTCAGCACACAGTTAAACCCTTGTTGATCGCCCCAGATGTTAACCCCTTCCTGCCCTGGGGTGCCATTAGTACAGTGTTAGTGCTTTTAATACCCAGGCATTAGTATCACCGATGGAGGAAAGACCTGTGTAAAAACAATACAGATCTCTTCCCTGTCAGCTTCTGCACACTGCTTTGTATGGCTGTGCATAGCACAGCCATACAAAGCAGTGTGCTTACAGTGTAAAGCACAGCACAGATAGTAAACTCAGCGCACACAGTTAACCCTTTAATCACCCCTCATGTTAACCCCTTCCTTGCCCAGTGCCGTTAGTACAGTGTCAGTGCTTTTTATTAGCACCGATCACTTTATTGCTGTCACTGGGGATGTCAGTGGGCTTTTAGTCAGTTCCCCCTCAGTGTCAGAATACCCCCCCCGCATAGTCCCGCTATAAGTCGCTGATCGCCGCCATTACTAGTAAAAATAGAAAAAGAAAAAAAAGAAAAAAATTCCAGTATCTATACCGCCATTTGTAAATGAAAAAAATCCCAATACGCGTACATTAATTGGTTTATGTGAAGGTTTTAATTTCACGTAAACCAATTAATGTACGCGTATTGGGTTATTTTTTTTTAGCAAAGACATGTCACAGAATACATTTTGGGCTTAATTCTATGATGAAATTTGATTTTTTTTAGTGGACATGTTTAATAGCGAAAAGTCAAAAATATAGTTTTTTTTCTCAGAATTGTCAGTCGTTTTTTGTTTATAGCGCAAAAAATAAAAAACGCTCAGGTGATCAAATACCACAGAAAGAAAAGTTCCATTCGTGAGAAAATTTTATTTGGGTGCAGCGTTGTATGACCGCGCAATTGTCAGTTAAAGTACCGTATTTTCCGGCGTTAAAAGGCGACTGGGTGTATAAGATGACCCCCTAATTTTACAGTTAAAAACATAGGTTTTGGGCTATACTCGCCATATAAGACTACCCCCCTTCCGAGAAGCCCGGGTAACACCATTTAAAAACATCATTTTTTTTTATTGAAATGGTTATGACTTACCGGTATTAAAATCCTTCAAAATCCTCATGTCATCCTCTGACATCATAAGTTCATGAATGACATCTTGTGATACATTTGTAAGACAGTCATCATATGGATCAAATTCTAAATCAGATGTTACTGCTGGATGTGCGGTAATACGGTAGCTTCGGCTACAACAGTAATTACAGTATATTACAGCCCGCTGGATGTGCGGTTAATACGGCAGCTTCAACTACATACAGTATACAGTATATATACGCCCGCTGGATGTGCGGTAATACGGCAGCTTCGGCTACATACAGTATACAGTATTATATACAGCCCGTTGGATGTGCAGTAATGTACATACAGTATACAGCGGCTGAGCCAAGCGGTTTCAAAACGTACCGGTACGTCCCTATGGTAATCAGCCGCTGGATGCGTGTATGTACGGTAGCTGCGGCTACATACAGTATACACTGGGCCAATCACGGTGAATGATGTATTCTACTAATGAATTTTTTTTTAGCAAAGACATGTCGCAGAATACATTTTTGGCCATAAATTTAAGATGAAATTTGATTTTTTTTTAGTGGACATGTTTAATAGCAAAAAGTCAAAAATATAGTTTTTTTCTCAGAATTGTCAGTCGTTTTTTGTTTATAGCACAAAAAATAAAAAAACGCACAGGTGATCAAATACCACAGAAAGAAAGAACCTCCATTCGTGAGAAAATTTTAACTGGGGGCAGCGTTGTATGACCGCGCAATTGTCAATTAAAGTACCGTATTTTCCGGCGTATAAGGCAACTGGGTGTATAAGACGACCCCTAATTTTCCAGTTAAAACATAGATTTTGGCCTATTATACTCGCCTTATAAGACTACCCCCTTTCCGAGGTAACACCATTTAAAAACATCAGATTTTTTAATTGAAATGGTTATGACTTACCGGTACTTAAAATCCTTCAAAATCCTCATGTTCATCCTCTGACATCATAAGTTCATGAATGAACATCTTGTGATACATTTGTAAGACAGTCTCATCATATGGATCAAATTCCAAGTCAGATGGTTACCGCTGGATGTGCGGTAATACGGTAGCTTCGGCTACATACAGTATACAGTATATATACAGCCATTGGATGTGCGGTAATACGGTAGCTTCGGCTACATACATGTATACGGTATACTATACAGCCCGCTGGATGTGCGGTAATACGGTAGCTTCAACTACCATACAGTATACAGTATATATACAGAGCCCGCTGGATGTGCGGTAATGTATATACAGTATACTGCGCTGAGCCAAGCGGGTTTCAAAACGTACCGGTACGTCCCTATGGTAATCAGACCGATGGATGTGTGTATGTACTGGTAGCGGCGGCTACATACAGTATACGCTGGGCCAATCAAGGCGAGTGATGTATTCTACTAATGAATACAAGCCTGCTATAGGAGGATGCAGAATCCCTGACGTCTGTCTGGCCTGTGCTGATCACATGCACTCTCCCAAGAAAAAAAAAAATAAAGTCTCTAGCAATACACCACACCAAACTGAGCATGTGCAAAACGCCTACCGTCTTATCAGGAAATATAGAGAGGTGGTCGCTTAAACAGGGGAGGAACAGAGCAATCAGGATCAAACCAGCCTTTTTACAACAATGCGGAGGATTAAACCCTTTAGGTTCCACAGTGAGTATAACAAGCATGCTTTACTGCCTATACAGATGGATTTTACTGTTGTGGGTTAAGTAACACTTTTATATTTAAAGTACACTCCCCCATCTATCCAGGTCGCCATGCGTTATTTTGCTGGGAAATCGTTTTGAAAAGCACCCCTGGCATTTCTGGCAGTGGCCATCTTGTGTGAGGGCAGATGATTCATGTAGCAGTTATTTAGTGGAGTTCATCTCCCCCTAGCTCAGGCATTGGCTGCTAGCTGAGAATTTTCCCTCCCCTCCTGAAGACTCCTGGGATGTATGAACATCTTTTGCCTAGGCATGGAAAACCAGGAAGTAACTGAAAGAAATGTAAAAAAAAAAAAATTATGTTAAACAATACGATTTACTTTCCTATCTATGTACTAATGCTAGCAGCAGAAGGATTAAAAATAGTCCGTCGTGTTGATTGAGAGAGTGAAATTCAACGTCATCAACACACCTAGAACTTTATATATTTTCTGAAAGCAGAGGACACTCATGGACATAAAGTCGTAGCTGTGTTTTTTGTATGTTTGCACAAGTATTTACGCTACTCTTCTATCTAATCTATATTTTCAGTAATAAAATTACAAATTTTTTTTTTTTAGGCCCACACCACAAATTCCATTGTAATGGGGCTGATTTACTAAACTGCAGAGTGCAAAAAATCTGGGTGCAGCTGTACATAGAAAGCAATCAGCTTCTCTAACCTCGCGTTGTCCATTTAGGACAGGTTCCCGCAATGCGTTTTCTAGAGCTTTTTGCAGAAACGCACTGCAGTCCATTTAACATGGTTTCCTATGGAAGACGTTCGCACCTCTGCTTTTTTTTCAGCCACTGTATTTTTGGAAAAGGGTCATGGACTTTTTTTTTTAAACTCAGAATGGTGTGTTTTTGGTTCAATAGACTTCAATGGAGATGCTGCAGAAAAAAAGCGTGTAGTGCAATTTTTTTCTACGCGTTTTGATGCGTATGCATTATTTTTTTTATCTACCATCCAAATTGGCCAAAAAAGCATTACAAAAAGCAGAATGCATAAAAAAATTTGGAAAATGCATGTGCAAGAATGCAAACACACCACAAAAAGCACTGCAGAAACGGATCAAAAGCAAACTGCA